ACTCATTTCAGTCTTTGACACTTGTGAGCTAAATTTTCATTTCAGAAACCTGATCAAAAATTCAAGTCAATGTTACCAAATTCAAATTCCATTAATCCAATTTTATGATCTTCAACATGCCATTTGCAATTTTTTTTTACTTAACGAACAGGAATTCTAAAGTGAAATTTACATACAGATGCTACTTGTGCAATACAAATGGAACCAGAAACTTTTTTTCCCAAAGAAATAATGCAGAGCAAAGATGAATAACAAACAACTGATTTCATTACTTTCATAATGAAAGCGAGCTTGGAAGAGAATATTAAACCATAATTCAATTCCATCTTTCCATTTGGTCTACCTGACAAAAAGAAAGTTTCTCATTAGAATTCATCTGATTTCTTTATATTTCTTCAATAGAATATTGTTGTGGTTCATTGTTAGAACTGACAGTGAGCTGGTCTTTTGTAACAATATTATATCATTTCCCACAGAGCTGAATTAAGTTTCCTCTGTGTAACTCCTCTTATGCCACACAATGGTTCACCCTCCTTGTTATGTATAAAATTTTCCTTTCCCTGCTAAGGCTCTGTCTATATACCACTCATCCAGAGAACTTGAGAGACACCTGCAGTATTGTTCAACAGGTGTAAATAATTCAGTAATTCCATATTTTATAAATCTATGCATTTACAAACATCGAAAATACAACTCGATTTTGTTAAATTAAGATGGCACCTTTTTAAAAAAATTATCACCCGTCTGAAGGGGGCACTTAATACAAAATTAGATAGCCTTTAAACTTAATATCAAAGGATATTTAATTATAGAAGAAATTGAAAGTAATATAAAGTTTCTGCCTTCATACATACAGATAGACAAACATACAAGCACAAACAAGTTGATCAGAAAAAGCTCATTTCAGGCATATGGCTCAGGTGAGCTTATAAAAGGTCTTTGAATTTATCTAATTCTGGCTTGAAAAGTTGATATCACTTACATATAAGATTTGTAAAATTTAACATTTACACATTCTTCTTGGCAATGACATATTGCATTAGTAAAATAAGAAATCATGGCAGCTAGAGGGAAAAAAAAAGCTTGAGACAAAAGATTTGAGACAGCTGAGCTTTGTGTGTCGAAATAGACCAAATGCTTGTATTAATTAAGAGGAAATGCAATGAAGGTACAGGTAATAAAGACTTTCACTTACAACACACAAGACTTGGAGATACTGAACTTAAAAGCCATGTTTTAACAATGCCAAAAGAGAGATAACTCTTACAGAAAGACAATTCACCATTTTAAACTGGAATTAAGGTTCTTGATTGTTAAAAGGTGAAGTCACACTATAATAATGAAATTTGATAATTTTCTTATACAGTACTTAAACCTGATAATGTACATGCAGACATAAATGTTGTGTCTAGAATCTACTCTGATTAAATTGCATACATGTATATATTTCACTTTAATATATCAACTTTTTAGTACCTTTGAACAACATTTTTAGGTACTTCAGCGTTGAATTTCAATCCATAATAACAAAATACCGAGCATAGCATAATTTTGTGCTTTTCAGCATTCAACATAATATGCAAGATGTCAGTATCTCATATTTTTACACCCTGACAATATAACAATAGAAACATTTAATATAACCACATTAACTAGGTCTGTCACAATCCATTATTAAGTTATATAAGTGAGACTTTAAACTCTGCTTTTTTCACTATAATTTTCACTGAAAAATGCCTTTTTGAGAAAATTTATTGCAGTACGTGTTATTTGTAGCTCATTTTTATGGATGTAACTTCATAAAATGCAGAACTTAATGCAGTTTCTTCAGAGTTCCTGTATATGCATTGTTATATCACATTTCAAATGTGAAATCAAAATTTTATGGCACCTTTTTTAAAGAAATAATACCTGTAGTATTTTCAGGTTAGAAATTTTTCCATAATGATTTCATAAATTATTTTCAATTATGGAGGTATCACTTTTGCTTAGCACATACCCTAAAAAAAAAATTAACAATTCTATACAGTTACAATGTTGGTGAAAAATTGTTGAGATTGGACTAAAATTGACCTCACAAGTTTTTATACAAAAATTGTTTTTTTAATAAATAAATATATAGTGCAAAAATGAAATTACGATTTATGAATCACTTATGATCATGTACTGTAGCCCGAATTAGCTACATGTACAATTGTACATAGCTTTATTTAGCTCTATTTTCAGTCTGATTAAAATCAAACCTTCACTAGCTCTTTTTTATTTTGATTCTCGCATGAAGGACCTTCACATGACAATCAAAATAAAAAAGAGCTAGTGAAGGTTTGATTTCAATCAGACTGCCATATTTTCATCCTACTTTTTCCTTAAATATACCTTTTTTTTCCAGCACACTTTGGTGACTTTATAGTTTTCAGGCTTTGTACTGTTTTAAAAACAATGCATCATAAAATCAATTTTCAAAATGTGTCTCCTTTAGAGCACTTACAATCAAACTTCTTTTAAAATTTTGGAAAGATATACTACATGTAATAGCAGTTGATTTGTGACAAAGCAGTCATAAAGGAGGCCAACTCTGGTTATAATGAAATAATTATGCACAATTCAAGTACTAATCATATTTCAGGGCTCTCACACCACTTTTTGGGAATGGGGCCGTAAAGAATGGAAAAATAGCAACCTTCTGGTCTTTGTCATGAACTAAATTTTTGTTTTGCAATACGAGGAAAATGAATAGCAAGTTTAGTTATTATATATCCAACAATATTTTCTGCAGTTTTTGGGAGTAATAACTATTGGGAAAATTAACAAATTCAAGGTATGTTTTTTGAATGAGAATGGGGCCCTTGAACGTCCCCATATTATTATAGACAATCTCAAGTCCTGTATTTATCCATACCTCACACATAAATTAGTGTACAATTACCCTAACAATAATTATACATCTTCTGCTTTAAAGTGTTCAAAAGCAGCAATGTTTTAACTACCGGCATCTCAATTTGGGCAGTGACGTCCCTGATTTGGGTTGCTCTTGTTCATTATACAGTCATTTTACTAGTAACGAATATTTGCCAGTATCGAATATTTTTTAATCTAATTATTCTTGACAAACATAGTGGCAGGTTTCAAAATTTCTTACTAGGTAAATACAATAAAAGGATGAATATTCTATCTCTGTGTTGTGTCTATGTAACATCTGCATGATTATTTTTCACAATATTTACAATTTGAAACAATGACCCAGATTTGATCACGTGCAAGTGCATTAAGTCAGAGAAAACGAAAGTGTGTGAACAAATGCGTCTAAATCAAACTTTTCAGTGTGTTGCTGATCCAGATTGAGTATGTTATCAATATCTAGGATAATTGTAACAAGTTTAAATAATAAATTGAACAATAATTGACTTTTAAATGAAATTATAAGATCCAAACTAACCACATGTTGTTTTCCTAGTCTCGAATCATGAATTTTCAAAGTTTGAAAAATGTCATTTTACGGTGAAAATACTACCAAAATAAATTACATTCAAGCAAAGATATTCCATGAATATAAAGTCTCTGAGATGGTTGATTTCATTTTTATTAAAGCATATCACGAAAAGTTTATCATAAAATGCAAAATTTTTCATACTTAATATAAATTTAGATTTAGAAAAAAAATTCATTTAAATCAACAAGTTATGTTAATATACTTTATGTACAATTTTCTTGAAGGCACATTTCAAAAATAATTTAGACCTGCCGATTTTATTTATTGGGTCAGCAATAGTAGAGGGTGCTCGATTCGATACTGAAAAATCAATACGAAACTAGGAAAATGGGGGGTGTTGTAATTGACATTTCTGTGTCTCTTAGACCTAGAAAATTAAATTCAGTCTAATATTAAAGCTTCATATGAACCAAAGATGAAAGCATTATATATAATAACTGTTGTTAATATAAGCTCTATGTCTCAAAGCTTATAAATACATTTCCATCACGTTCGCAATTTTATCAAAAAAAGTCAAAGAATTCACTAGATTGACAAACCCATGAGCTATGCGTTCGCTATGTTATGCTATAGTTCATGACTTGGTCAATCGAGTGATTTCTATTGACTATATTGATAAAATTTAATTTCGAACTCCTCAGTCTCCTGTGCTTAATTTCCATTCCCCTCACCTGTTCACAAATCGCTCTCGGATCAAATTCAAACAATTCGATCGGTGTCATATTCGATTAAATCATCATAGGTAATGTACATAATGATACATGCACAAGATACCTCAAGAAAACCGTTTTCAGAAGCAAAAATATAATAATAATAAAACTGAAAATAATAATTATCTTAAGGTTTTTTGTACCATCAATTTCAAAACAAATGCGGCTTCTTTCTTTAAAAGCGCGTCTTAGAGTTATCTCTCTTTTTCTTTCCAGGAAATGAAAGTGCCAACAGAATTTAACACTCAAAATGTACTTGAAATACTCTTATTCAAATTTTCTGTTATACAAAAATAGTAACATATTGTGCATCTACTAGAAACTTGGCTTTTAACATGTTCAACAAGAAATGAATTGGTGAAAAGGTAAATAACTTAAATTTCTCTTTTTGTGACTATAATATTGATCGACTGTGTTCAACTTAATTCGAGAAACTAAACACAATATTGCATATATTGTTTTTTGCCTAAAGAACAAAAAAAAAAAAAAATGAAAGTTGTTATTCAAAGTCAAAAGTTATTCAAATAATAAAAGCACATGCGTTGATTCTCTCTCTCTCTCTCACCATTTTCAGGATTTAGATTAGAAAAAAGACTACCTACAGTACAGCAACATGTTTCGCTATCAAGGATGTTTGCAAACATGCCGAACATGCCTTAGTACCAGTATACTCACCAAATATTATGATACACAATAATTTTGACGTCATAATTACACGACCACGAGATTTAACGTAACGACCAATGTGACGTAACAATCATCGCTACAACAAAACCTGAGTAGAAAGTCCGAAGGTGACATACATGTAGGCCTAGATGGATGTTGTTTTACATTTTGGAGGGGAAGCGGTTAAAGACATCGTAAGTGCATTTTTTTTATTCATTAGTTGTTCTTGAAAACTTTGAAAGTCTTTCAGAAACAAACGATCAAATTTCACACTGTGTTGTTAATTGTGCAAATTACTGAAAATTGAGTATATTGAACAAATGAAGTATACTTCTTTTTTCTAGGATACAAAGCTTCAAATTCTCAAGTTTAGCTATAAATGGGTCGATGAGGTGGAGGGATATGAGAGAAGAATGAAGGTAAAATGAGTGTTTTGCAGTAAAATATTTCATTTATGACCATTTTTGTGTGTGCTTTAAATGAAAGATTGTATTGCAGTAAAACTGTCCACATTTATGTTGTATAAAATGGAGATTGAAAGTCCAGGTCACATATTTATTCGATATAATCTATGTATCATAGAAATGGGAAAAAGCAATATGCGTCCATATACCATTTTTATAGGAAGCTGGACTGAAGGAAGAGGCAGCGGAAGTATTAGTTGCACCAAAGGAGAACATGCAAATAAAAATAACAACAAAGGAAAACCTACTCTTGTAATTTTAACTCAGGCATCAAAAGGAATCAAGCTGATGAAAGTGGCTGATATCAGGAATCAATATCACTCGTCCGAGCGACAGTAAGTTGGATAAATTAAGACTGGGACATTTGAGGAAAAAAAAATGACAAAACTTGAATTGAGAGGAAGAGTGATAAATGGGTGAATCCTGACGTACTGTAGTTATACCAAGAAATTTTGCAAAAGGCTTTGAAGAAAACTAACTTTAAAAATTTCTTCTTCATCAACCATTCATTTGTCTGCACTATTTTTCAGACAACTTGATCCGTCAAAAGTCTGAAATTTTCTCAAATTTGTATTTTTCAGAATGTTAAATGAGTTTGAAGTTCAAACATATATCGGAAAGGAAAACTGTCTTTTGACTACGTACAATGTAAAAACTGTATTTTTAAAATGGTAGTCGAATGATTTTGAATAAATTCACTCCATTTTCATTACCACTTAGCAATCTTCTGCTTGAAAATCAAATTGTCGGTTGACATATATTAATAATGGGACTGAAATGTTGTCGTCTGGTATACAGTTTTAGAACAACCTTAGGATCGACTTTACTTTACCGGTCCCCCAAAAAACGCGCTAAAATATAGGCGACTTCAGTATATATGAGAGCGCGTGAGCGATCGAAAAAAATTAAAAGTATGAGGTTTTTAGCCTTTTTGACCCCAAAATCGAATTCTACGGTTAAAAGTTCAGTTTAAAACTTCGTTTTTAAACAAAGTTTTTAACCAAATTTTCTGAAAAAAAAAAAGATTAATATTGTTTATTCAGTGAAAAGGAGACGAAAAATAATTGTGAACGAAGCGCGTGCGGCGCATGCTTAGTGCTGTTTCTTTAGTACTTAGCCATTTTTTCATGTAAACAAACCAAAGAGATGTCGTGAAAGCTGAATTTAGATCTTGCAAAAAATACAGATATGCAACTGAATTTCTAAATTTATCTAAAAAAAAAAAACAAACAAACAAACAGGAGACCAACCCTAATCCCTCGGATGGTGTGCGAGGACTAACCCAAATCTCCTAGGCGGATGCTAGACTATCCCATTTGCGAGGACTAACCCTAATCTCTCGGATGGATGCGAGACTAACCCTATTCAGTTGAAAACTTGTGCAAGGACTAACCCTAATCTCTCAGGTGGGTGCAAGACTAACCCTAACCAGTCAAAAAATGTGCAAGACTAACCCTTATCAGTTGAGTGACGTAAATCTTACGTCATAGTGCAATGAGCGCGCGGATCTTGCGGTTCTGGGGACCGGTAAAGTAAAGTCTACCCCAGATATTTGGTTTGCATGTGAAGGTTTTGATTTCTAGAGAATGCTTGCTAAAAAGTATAAAAGATATAATAAGTATAAGATAGACATTTAATTACAATGAATTGACTGTCTCTGAATAGTGTTGTATATACATGTATAGTATAGATAACTGGACTTATCTCTTCTCTTACGAACTACGAATTCTTTCTATATGTTCAGTCTAGTTGTTATATCAACAGATATATGTTATATCTGTTGAAATATTCTCGCAATGTATGTATATATATAGTAAAAATAATATTTTAGGAATGACTCTAATTCTTGGCCAAATTATTCGAGGATAACCTGGTTTGGGTCAGTTTACGCTTTATAATCCGCGAAGCGGATTATAAAACAGCGTAAACTGACCCAAACCAGGTTATCCTCGAATAATTTGGCCAAGAATTAGAGTCATTCCTTATAATTAAATTCTAAAATCATTAAACAACTGTGGGTGTAAAATTTCGTTGCTTTTTATTAGTTCAAATTTGCCGCTCAATAATACAACCCTAGTAACGGAAGTGATGGGAAGCGAGGGGAGGTAAAAACTGATACATAGTCCTAGCAGCCATGTTTTTTGTTTACATGTGGTAAGATCCGAGTTACTGTTTGAAGTTAAAGGTACATTTATTAAATCTGGAATTTTCCATGAATCCCGAGGACTGGAAATGAGAGGATTGCATGGATACAGACGATTCAGCTGGTTGTCAGGGGGGTGTGTCCCAATACCAAACCAAGTTATACAGAAATAATTTGTGTTCCTTTTTGGATATTAACCAATCAGAGGCTAGAATACAAACAAAATTAAATTATTTAGTAATAGTTTTAATGAGAGATAGAAAACACATCTGAACAGTACAATCTGACTCGGTTATTTACATGGTTACAATATACAATACAAAATACACAATGATGTCATCACTATTATGACGTCATCACGATTATGACGTCATAACCAGGAATGAACACTTAAGAATTGAATCATTTAAGGAATGTTTTTAAGTTTTGTGTGAGTTATTGGTGTGTAAATCACACAGACTTGTCACGTAGGCATATTTCATGAAGCGCGCTTCATGAAAAATATGCCTACGTGCAAGTCTGTGTGATTTACACACCAATAATTCACACTAAACTTAAAAACATTGCTTATATTTACCCTTCACATGTTCAAAAGCACTAAAATTATACTCAGTGTTTGAATTCTTCGCTGCCCTATATCGTCATATTTTTTTTATTAACGTCTCTGTAGTTCATTGTGACGTCACTTTAGCGCGAGTTTCTCCCTGCATATTTCTACGCGTGAGTATACACGAAAATGACATTCAAATCAATTTCACAGTTGGCTTAGTAGAAAAACATAGCAAATGTAAATATTTAAGGAATGTTTTTAAGTTTTGTGTGAGTTATTGGTGTGTAAATCACACAGACTTGTCACGTAGGCATATTTCATGAAGCGCGCTAGCTAGATATTTTTCTGGTGAATAACAAACCATATTCACCACCGAAAGAGTCCATAATTGTTTTATTATATAGTCAGGATTTGAATGAATAAGATATTGAAGGCTGCATGACGACTCCATTTTCATTAACGAACTTCTGTCGTAGAAAAATTAAATAAAAAAAAATATCCAGATTATAATTCATAACTTCCGTGTTTTTCTTTTGCTCTGTGTAAGACATCGAAAAGTTTGGAAAAAAGTCCTACGAGAAATTTGCCTCAAAGTTTTCCTGCTCAGATATACAGCATATACAGCTGGCTCCAGCCGTTGCAACCATTGTTTTCAACGTTGTTTTAGGTATTGATTGTGAGGTCACAATGCCGCTGCACGCGCACTGACCCTCCGGTGAATACGGCTTCAAATCCAGTGAATATGTAGTATTATGAACTGTTTACGTTTGTATAGATTATATAGGGACTATTTATAGACTATATAATAAAGTCTCATAACTGCAACGTTGTGTGTAAACAAATTGAGTAACGCGCTAAAGCGCGTTATGAAAATTTGTTTGCACACACCGTTGCTGGTATGAGACTACATGTATATCTTTCAAAAAATAATGATACAATATTTATATTTACAACTCCTTGCCTTCACTGCAAATGTGATTTATATTTCAAAATCCTTGTATTATCCTTTAAGTAAGTTACAATAAATGGAAGAGCCATTGCAACAGCTTCTGTTCATTGTGACCTTGAATTTTGATTTTCGCTTATGACGTTGCACTTCCACGGCGTTCAATGTTTGTGACGTCAAAATAAAACGCATACTTTAACCTTTTGACCCCCTTCCGTGTTATGGCGTTTTGAATACTGTAACTTTCCTTACTATGTCAAACGTTGCAATATTCGATCTTTTCCATTTGTATTGTATAATTTTCCATTTGTACTGTAAAATTTTCCATTTGTATTCTATAATTTTCATTTGCATTGTAAAAATTTTATTTGTATACTATATTTTTTTATTTGCATTGTAAAGTTTTTATTTGTATTCAATAACTCTCCATTTGTATTGTATAATTTTTATTTGTATATTAAAAAAAAAAAAATTTTCCATTTGTATTGTATAATTTTCCATTTGTATTGTATATTTTTCCATTTGTATTGTATAATTTGTATTTGTATTGTATAATTTTCCATTGTATTCTATAATTTTCCATTTGTATTCTACAATTTTTCATTTGTATTGTATACTTTTCCATTTGTACTGTAAAATTATACAATACAAATGGAAAAGATCGAATATTGCAACGTTTGACACGCCATAAATAACATCCTCCACAGGGCACGATGTTTTTGAAGATAACAGATATATGGATATACAATTTATACACAAGTGTACCTGTACATATCTCTTAATTACAGTTTAAGTGGATGTAATTTTGATACAGGTCTTGACGTAGTACGACCAGTACTAGTTTTTATGGTAGAAGAAGAATAGTGATCCCTGCCTTCCAAAAGTTTTGTTATTATTCCTAGTCTCCAGTTTACTCTTGGACAAGTATAGTAAATCTGGACGACATCTCCAACTTTTAAGGTCTGAACTTTGTTCCCCAGGCAACGATGGTATTCACGTAGACTTGATAAATATTTATGTTTCCATCGTTGATGTATATCGGGAAGATTTTGTTTTCGGACAAAAGTTTTCACCAACTGGCTTTTGTTATCTTCCTCATCATGATCTTCCCTCCGGGCCACAAAAGTATTTTGGAAGTGCCCGGCGTCCATCAAATAGAATAGAGGGTGTCAATGGTTGTGGATCCTTAATATCTGAAGAGACATAAGTAAGTTGACGGTACTTATCGTGCCCTCTATTTCACACAGTATGGTACATGTACGAAGGACTGGCTCACACCTTAATGCCTTTCCAAGTATTTTCCGCAGAGTTGTTTTTGTTAGCTGATCAGACGTTCCCAAAAGCCTCCATTCCATGGTGCACCTTTAGGTATAAACTTCCAATTAATGTTCAAACCTTTGTTCTTCATGATGGTTCTCTGGACAAGTAAAAATGTTGATTCATTGTCTGAGTAGATGATGTGCGGCATTCCTTTGTTGGTAATGAACTTTCTGAATGCTAATAAAAATGTTTCAGTTGAAAGATCCTGAACAAGTTCAAGATGAAGAGCTCTTGTTGTTACGCATGTAAACAGACATATGTACATCTTTTTGCTTTGTCTATTTACTTTGGCATTAAGGGGCCCTGCATAATATACTTAAGCAATTAAAAAGGGTATGCAGTCTGATACACGGTCCTATATTTACATTCAACTTGTATTTTACTTATAAAGTGTGAGGAAAGCTACGGCATTCAAAACACCATAACAGGGACAGAGGGTCAAAAGGTTAAAGTATGCGTTTTATTTTGACGTCACAAACGTTGAACACCGTGGAAGTGCAACGTCATAAGCGAAAATCAAAATTACGCTCACATTGAACAGAAGCTGTTGCAACGGCTCTTCCATTAATTATAACTTACCCAGAAGGATAATACAGGGATTTTGAAATATAAATCACATTTGCAGTCAAGACAAGGAGTTAAAAAATGTAAATATAAGCCACAGGCGCTTGACGTTTTAAACCTTTCTTTTCATAAATAAAAAATCCCCCATACTATAATAATAACAA